CTCGGATATCCAGGCAATTCTCGAATCTGCACTACGACCTTCCACACGCAAATCGTATTCAGCAAAGTGGAGAAAATTCTCTTCCTTTGTCAATGCCTGTTCCTTCTCTCTGGAGTTGACTTCGATCGAGAATATTTTGCAATTTCTATTCAACCTTCATCGCTCGGGACTCAAGCCTTCATCTATAAAGATCTATACGGCTGCTATCTTGCATTTTCGTGGCAGCATCCATGGATCATCTGTTTTTTCTCAACCCCTGATTCGCCGTTTCCTTAAAGGGCTACAAAATTTGCACCCATCGGTTCAACCTGTTATGCCGGCGTGGAGTCTTTTTGTTGTAGTTCAGGCCCTTACAAAACCTCCATTTGAACCTTTGGCAACAGTGGATTTACGCCTAGTTTCATGGAAAACTGCCTTCCTTGTTGCAGTTACTTCAGCCAGAAGAGCTAGTGAACTGTGTGCTCCACGTATAGACCCACCGTTCTTGAACTTTCACAAGGAAAAGGTCGTTCTCCGAATGGACTCCGAGTTTCTTCCCAAGGTGGCTACACCGTTTCATTTGAACCAAGACATCGTCCTCCCTGCGTTTTTTCCATCTCTGTAGACTCCAATTGAGTGCTCTCTCCATACGCTGGATCTTAGGCGCTGTCTAGCCTTTTACAGTTCTCGCACAGAAGCGTTCAAGAATTCCAATAGACTTTTTGCCAAGTATGCTGCTCATGACAAGGGCTCTCCAGTCTCATCTCAGCAACTGTCCAAATGGATCATGCAGACCATAATCCTAGCATATCAATTGGCAAAACTTGACTTACCCTCACTTCCGAGGGGGCATTCTACGCGAGCAGTAGCAACTTCATTGGCCTTTGCTGCAGGGGTTCCAGTTCAGGATATTTGCAAGGCTGCAACTTGGGCTGCTCCATGTACTTTCGCCAAGCATTATCGGCTTGATGTATGCGCCAGAAGGGATTGTTCCTTTGGTAGAGCTGTGCTCTCTGCCATTCTTCACTGATGACACCTTCCCTCCTCCAAGTCTGGTAAGCTTGCTAATCACCCATATGTGTGATGCACAGAGGCCATGACGAAGAAGAGCAGGTTGCTTACCTGTAACTGATGTTCTTCAAATTGCCATCTGTGCATTCACAGAACCCACATGCCGGCCCCGCATGGTGTCAGTGAGTGGACCGTTTTTTCTTACTGTCTGTTCCGTGTTATTCCTACGGTACCGTTTTTTCTTGCTGTGATGATGTTTTTCGAATGTTAGGGGGCGAACGTCGGTCTTCAAGACTGAGTAAAATGGCGGATGCTCCACTCTATCTATACTGCAGCGGGGAGGGGAGCGGAGCGTTTTCCCGCCAAAAACCATTAGCTTTCTAATCTTCCGGCCTAGGCACTGCGCAGGCGCAGCACCCTTATGTGTGAATGCACAGATGGCCACTCGAAGAACATCAGTTACAGGTAAGCAACCTGCTCTTCATAAATTTATAAACCTTTACTCTTCCATAATTATAAACTGAAAAAAACCCAAATACCATACTGTGTGGTGTGGACGATACTGCAGTCTCTTGATTTGAGTATTATAGTTGACTTTTTTAACTTTTCTAGTTTTGGTATACTTTTGGAGATAATTTTTTTTGTACGTTCTGTTTAGTACATGATACTACTAGTTGTGATTCTTACACATTTGTAATGAGTTACATTCTAGTAACAGGATATGTTTTTGTTTATTTTGGATTTAGTAGCTGCTCTGCTGGTCTTCAGTAAGTACCTATACACTGTTTTGGATTAGATGAGGATTAACCAACAGGGATTTAATGGAGACAGAGAGAAATATCTGTGTTGGATGTAGTCAGGCTCCATTTCTAGAACTGGATGAGTTACTCGGCAATAACTTTTTACCTGGGTGTGTTTGTGTGGATCTTCTCTTTAAAACAGGGCCAGCTCAGATTTGTCCACATCTCTTAAGCAGAGGTTAAGAGCATTATTACATTGAATCCAATTGTGTGTTTATAGGGTTTTCAGATAGTAATTTCACTACATTCACACAGTCATGTTAATTCTCTTGAATCTGGGTTGATGAATAAGTTCAGCACTAAGTATTAAGCAATGACTTGTATGTATTCTGCTCTTTAATTAAGATGTCCTGAGACATTTGTAGGGGATGGGATAGAAAAGTCTTTAAATAAACAAACAAACCATGATTTAAAAATTAAAATCAGCATGACAGAGAAGATGAATATTTTGATATTTTGTTAAATGTTTTCATAGGAACACCTAGGCAGTCTGGATGAGCCAGCTTTGGAAGTTGGGCACCAAGCTCTGCTTAGACAAGAGCAAGCAAGGATCATTCGATTTGAGAGGCAAGCAGAAGAATTCCTCCATGCAGTCTTTTATCAAAAAGGTTGGTCTTGGTGAAAGAAGAAACTAGTTAATAATTAGGACATTAAAGCATTAGGTTTTAAAAACTGCAAATAATGTGTGTGTGTAGATAGCTAGATAAATTTTGTGATAGAATTGACCCAATAAATACTCATTAGAAACATCATATTCATCGGATGAACTGCATATATACATTTGGTGACAGTTTACAATCCTTGAGGCATTTCAGTGCATATGCTACATTTGGCTTTGTTACTGGGTGCATTTGTATATCACGGCAACCAGCTCTGCAAATAAGCTGTGTGTGGGACTTGTTCATGCAACAATCCATCATATGCCCAACAGTCAATCAGTTTTACTGCTGATTGCTCTCCCGATCCTTCTTTCTTAGTCCTCTAACTGGTATCTCAGTTCTGTGCAGAAGAATCTGTTTTGCCTCTCCTTCCTATTCTTACTGTGCCCCTGTTTTCACAGCTGTCGAAAAAAGTGCTTACAAAAAGGGATATTTCTCTCCCCTTTCTGGAGTATCTAGAGGCTTGGTGAAGTATGGAAAAGGTAGAGGGCACTGAGAATTATCAAGGCAGTACTTTAAAACAGATCACAGGGGAAGATATACTTGCCGCCTCCCTTCAGGGCAAAGCTCATTTTGCTGCTTTGCTTTTCAGTTGACAGCTCCTTAATTGGCTGATGTCACATGCACAAAGCAACCCTTATGGAGACTTGCTTGATCAGTGTCCAGGGAATGTTACCTACTGTACTTGGACTGTGAACACATTTACTAGCAGATTGGTCAAAGCAAGACCCCACATTTTAAGGAGGCATACCTATGCACCTTCCAAAGAGTGAAATTTTCTAAACCAATTGCACAATTCCTCATATTTTGTTGCCTCCAATTTTTTTAAAAAATGGTAATGAGTTAGGGATGGTCACTCCAAAGTACTGCTTGGTAAAGCAGCTATCAGTGGTGACAATCATAGAGAAGATCACCAAGTGTAGAATGGATTTTTGCTGTTCTTGCAAAGTAGATTGCTGGCTGCTTCCCACAACCCACAGTCAGATCTGTCTTCAGAATCTGGACAACCAGCCCATCTTGGGCTCAGCAACCCCTAGTTGTCAGAATGGTTTGTTGCCCAAAATAGCCCCTCTTGCAAAAAGTGGGCCAGATTTGCACAAGGCAGCAGTCCACCATAGCTAGTTACCAACAGATTGCCATTTCATTCGAACATGGTCATTGTCTTTAAATATTAGCTATGTTAATTATGTCCTTCCATTTCTCAAAATATCCAACATGACCCATTCTACAAATAATTTATAAAGAACAGTAGTAGTTTCCTTTTAAACATATTTATCTGATTACTAGGAGATGCAAATGGTTACCAGTTACCACTAATGTATTACCAAATACATATTTAAACAGCATATTATAAAATTAAAGATCTCAGAAGAAAATCTTGCTTAGCCTTCTAAGGAAAAGATTAGGTACAATTTAACATTTGGCAAATTTGACCCATAGAAGCTACTTGATTTAAATGATTTCTGGGAACTTGAAATCATATCCTTATTTTGATAATACTTTGATAGTTTGTCCCATTCCTAATGTTTGAAATGAGTATGGTAAACATTTAGAAAAGTTTCCATTTTAAATATCTGCTTTGTTAAAATAATCCATTTTTTCTTAGTTGATTGTGAAATTTCCTCACTTGGATCCTTAAAGGCAAACACTGCTTAGCCAGAAATGCCTCAAGTATAGGGCATTTTGTGTGATGGCAGGGTTGCAACCTGACTGATCCACAATGCACATTCTAGAACAAAAACTTTGATGCCATCTCTCAGGGAGCCCAGGCAAGTTAGGGTCATTCCCCAGAACTTCACATTTCCTTACCCCAGTTTTCTGTTTATTTTAACACAGTAGCAAGGAATATTTTTTGTTTCAAAGGCCAGTTTGCTGTTATGAAATATGTCAGGCTACATGCCAAAAGTGGGTGGTGCCCACTTGCCAAGCACACTCTCACTTGTGCACTGTGAGCTGGTTTGGATGACATGTCAGCATAGCATGAGTCATCTGAGATGTCAGCCCACTTGTTTTGTTGTATTATCCCAGGAAATGGAGAAGCTGAAGGCGAGAAGAAGAGGCCCAGAGATTCCCCACCCCCTTTTCAATTGATATTTGACTAGTTTCGGCATAATCACTATGTGATGCTTGCTGTTTCAGCCTCCTACTACAACTGTATCGATGCTTGTTCTGTGAACTTGATGTGTCTGTGATCATGTTTCATTTTTCTATTCATGCCTAGGTTTTAGGTGAAGGTTAGCTAGTGGTATACTTTTGTTATTCTGTGTACTTGGCAACAGTAGAACTACTTTGGGCTTCTACTGTTTACATATACACATTAAATATTGACATAATTGCTTCATGTTTGCAACTGTATAAGGTTAAATTAAGCATGTTGTGGTTATAACTTTGAATGCTATTCTCAAGAAGTAATAGTGCAATATTGGGATTTCTCTTCTAAGTAAGAGGGGGAGGAGGTGTTGATTTTTCTTCTGCAGTCTTGGGTAGAACCAAAATTAAAAGTGAGAAAAATATGATTGTGTGTAACTCTTAGAAAATCAAGGAATGTCTAAGGGGGGTGGGCAAGCTACATGCTGCTCTCTGCTGCTTCCTGTGAGGCCCACCAAACACAGAGGAGCCCCACCAATTTTTCCCTGCAGCCCAACTACTTTAGTAATGACCACTGCCCTGGTGTTGCCGAGATCCCTGTTGAAATAGTAATCTTGAAGGTTGGAAAACACTTTAACTGCCACTTCCTGCAATCCCTTTTCATTGGGCAAGGCGGGGAGGCTTAAACCTCCACATCCCTGTGTGCTGATACATGGATGGGGGAAGTGCGCATGAATGAATGTACAAACACATGCGTATGGCCCCCAGTCTAGCATCACATGCAGGTCTTGAAGCCATGATGTTAACTGCCCCAGCTATAGGGTCTCATTGTTATCCTGCTGGAAAAGTTCTATTATAATAGTAATTCTGTGAATCATTCTCTGAAACAAATACATTTATGTACTTATTTATAATTCATTTTTATACCACGCAGTAGTGCAACCCCATGCAGAACAGATTGAATATTACCCAATTAGACAGATGAACCACTGAATGACAGCCTAGACACATGTCTAATACATTCTCTTGCTGTTCCAGCATTGAAGAATTTTGCAGTTTTAAAATAGGTTATGTTAGTAATTCAGTACAGCAATATGAAGAAGCTGATACACATACACCATTACAGTTAAGATACTGTGGAGGGAGAGAGTGCAATTTCTTTACTTGGTTTAGATTTCTCAGCTTAAGTTGAGAGACTCCGGTGTTGTTTTTGTTCAGCAGTTTAGAGCTTGTAAAATACTGCAACTTTATGAATTCCCCCATCCCATAAATAAGCCCTGGGTATGCAAATTTCATGTTTCACTTAGAATTTTCTTCTAAAATATTTTACTGTTTAGACAGCCCTAGGGTCTCGGACCCCAACATTCCCCTAGTGGCCCGTGAGATCATGCAGCGGATGATCCGACAATTTGCTGCTGAATATACCTCAAAAACTAGCTCTACTCAGGACTCCAGCTCGCCCAATAGCACAAAGAACCAAAGCCTGCTGAAAGCATCTCTGGTTGCCTCATCCCCTGTGGGTGCAACGGCTCAAAACCCTGTGCTCAGCAAACTTCTCATGGCTGACCAGGACTCGCCCTTGGACCTCACTGTCAGAAAGTCTCAGTTGGATCCTAGTGAACAAGGTATGTACACCACATTTCTTTTAAAAACTTTTTGCATACATTTGTAAAAGTCAGTCACTAATGCACTGGAGCAAACTCTGCTGTGCTTGCTCCTCAATGTCACTCCATTTGAAAATCTCCAGAAATGAGTGATGGTGGAACACTAGGGACAAGCAACATGTTATAACAGCTGCCTTGTAAATGGCATGGGAGAGATGGCCAAAGAGGAGACAGCAAAGAAAGGGAGCTGAAAATCTGTTGAGAGACACAACCCAAACTAAGTATTGCTACCTGGAGATTGGGTATAGCTATACTGAGTTGGGGAAAAGTCATACTGAAACCTGTGACCTCAGTAATTGGTTGGCCTTCAAGTCTAGGTTGGGATATTTGGCTTTCCTAGGGTTAGCAAAGATATTAAATTGGCTTAGAAAGAACTTACCAGAAAGTGTTTTGCCAACTTTTTGAAATATATGTCTAGTTTTTTCTTGAAAACCTAAAAAACAATTTTTTCAGCCTCTTTAAGCAATGTGTCTGTTTGCCGAACCATTCATACAATTAGATAATTTAAGCACTCTTATATAAGTGCTTATTCAAAATTCCAGTGAAGCTTACTCCTCAGTAGGTATGTGTAGGATTGTTGCTCTAAATCCATAATGTCTTTTGCTCTGCCTTTATCAGTTAGGCAGATAGACAATTCCTTCTCTTTATTCTGGAATCTGTTAAAATATATAAGCATATAACAATCTTTCATTTGCCTTATTGGTCTCTTGGCTAAATATTCCCATTTGTTTAATCATTTCCTCATATAATTTATTAGACTTTCTCATCTGTACAGCTATCCACAGAATCTTTTGCAGCTTGTCAATAAGAGCTTCTTGCAATATAGAATTCAAAATGTAATCCATTAGAAAAGTGTCCTCATAAGTGCCAAGTGGAATAATTCTTGTTTGAGTCTGAGACAAATTGTTGCTTAATATAATGCAAAATAGAATTGACCTTTGCTCAACGGTAATGTTGTTCACTCAGGCTCAGGTAGTCCTCTATTATAAACCATGAATTCTTCTAAGTATGCATAACTAGTTATTCCACACTTCTGCCTGTTAGTCCATGTGTGTAAATTTCACCTTCTGACAAAAGTAAAAATGTGATAGGAAAGATGCTCATTGTGCACACTGTGAGTTGTTATTCTTTTCAGGTAGAGAAAGGTGGATCTTTTTATTAGTAGAACTAAGGGAAAATGTAATTGGATAGGACTTAGCAAGGTCATGCATCCTTTCCTTGTTAATGTGGGTCTTCATCAGAGCTGTGTCTGACTCCTTGATTTGCAGAAATAAAAAGTGAAGTACTTTTGATAAACTATCTTTGAATTTGGATTTAATTTAAATAGGACTGTTTGAATAATTATGAACTTGGCTCATATGTGTATAATGTGTATAATATTAAACATTTGTGGCTTAATTTGGGTGTTCTTTTCAATGATCATTGATTTGATAGAAAAATTTAGATACACAATGTATTTATGAGTTGGTCCTAAAGGTGGTATGGATACCATTTAACATAGCCAGTGGATTATGGTGAGCCTACTAGAGCAGGAGAAATTGACTGAGTTGTGGAGTAACTAGTTCTTTCAGCAAGAAAAAAAGTTTCTGTATGCATTAGGTATTCTATTTTAAATGCTAGGAGTGGCACTTGGATTTGGTTGTTTTGAATTATTACTTTGCTTGCTGCCTCTTAGAAGTTGTTAATAACAGCGGAATATTTTCAAAGATCGTACAGGTCTAAGAATGACTATATATAACCTGTGGTTTCTTGAGAGACAGACAGTGCTGTTTGTTTAGTGAAAATGACTGCATCAAGTGCATTAGTTTAGAAATCATAGGTATCCTACCCCTAATGGCTAAATAATTGCTCCTTATCTTGCCAAAACCCATGGAATATATGTTATGTGGTTTATGCATTTTTTGGTATGACTTCTAGGATTTCATTTATTGCGTTTGAATTTGTATGTAACACTATTGTTTTAGGAGTTTATTTTCTGATTTAGTACAAAATCCCAAGAGCTTTTAAGACTATTAGAGTGGAGTGGACAGAAGGTAGATCTCCAGATGTTTTAGACTTCAGCACCTGGAGCCAGCATGGCCAGTGGTCATTTCATTTAGTACATGTGTATGGTGCCCCATACCCCATAGGGCTAATAGAACAAAAAAAATTCATAAAAATACAATAATACATCAGAGCAATACGATCAGGCAGTACAATATTTAACTGTAAGCGATTCAAAAACTGATCAGGAATAATGGGCATTGAAGGTAAAAAATGTGGAGAGCTTGTATTATAGCAGTCTATTGTTTATTTGCTAAATTTAAATCCAGGAGATAAATAATTAAAACATATGAAGAGATAATAATGGCGGAAGTACTTAGAAGCTTTGGTCTGATGTGAAAGGTTTGGTTCCACAGTGATGCAGCTTTAACTTGGGGCTGTGTTTTACCAAGCATAAAAACTTAAGTCTTCACGTGTACTTTTGGTTTTACTCATTACATCTTATTCTAAAATGATTCTCATGTCTCTGCAGACGGTGTGCTTGATTTGTCCACTAAGAAAAGCCCATGTGCAGGCAGCGCCTCCTTGAGCCATTCAGCTGGCTGCTCCACTACTCCTGGGAATGGGTAAGGGAAATAGTGTTCTTGCTCAACTTTCATGGCTGCTGGTGTAACTGGGAAGTAGGGGGGGTGTCAAATGCTTTCTCATAAGTTCTAAAAACTGAATTTTAACCCTTCAGAGTATAATCATTTCTTGCAGAGCCTACCTTATCCTCAGTTTTCAAATATGAACTTTAGTAGAAAAATTAATTCTGTGTTAGAAATATTTTAATTATACAGTTGATATAATTGTAGAGAGAAAATCTTTCAGGTGTTAAAAATACACATCTGTGTACAGTTTTGACAGCCCCTGTGCTACTGACTCTGGAAGCATTCAGCATCAACTGGTGGGCTAATGCCTTGGCAAGGATTTTACTGAGCACCAGTTGTGTCGACTAGCACTTCCACTCAAAGTCTATACAAATGGCTACTGCAGTTTGTTTGATTGTGACAGCTGGAAATGGGCTGTTAGAATTGCAGTTGCAGCAGCTTCATGTATGGAACGTGCCATTTGATATTATCAATGTGTGCACATGATTTCTGCTGGGTTTTAAGTCCTCTGTTAGTCCCATGCCACTCCCATAGTGATCACACAGGGACTGCTGAATATCTGAACTAGACCTTAGTTGGATGAGATTATGGTTAACCTATTGTTTGACAAATCAAACACGATTGTTTCATTTAGTCAGCTAGGACACCTAAGCAAACGAGGTGGCTGATGAGGAATTGTAGAATGTTTGTTAGGGTTTTTTGGTGCAAGCTACTATTACAACACAATAGTCTCATCTCGTTAGTTTCTTATGGCTCATTACATTTATGGCAAATTTGTAATTACCCACCTAAGGGATATTTGCAACATGAAATATTGAATAGTTCAACCATTCCTGATAGTGTATCATTATCATACTAGCAAACATAAATCCTGGATGTAGATTTCTTTTGGTGAAGGTTGTATAGTCCTAACAACCGTATGTTTGTTTGGGCATGCTTATAGGTAGAAGTCAACTAGGAATAAAGGATGGTCGGTATTATTTTGAGAGCCATAATGAAATATTTTTTAACATGTTCTTTTTAATTAATCCTTTTAATAATATTAAGTGACTGAATTTAGATGTATAATCACATCTTAAAGTTACTGGATTTCTACCTAAAAATAGCAATTTTTTATAGCCAATAACTTTAATTGTGAAAATTAAATCTTTTAGTATGTCAATCTCTTACATAATCACTTAATTCTTTAAATTGTTCAATGTTGATAGGCTCTGTGGATTTTTTTAAAAAATAACCTTCCACGGATGGTTCAATGTCATTTTCAACAGATCAGTATTTTTACCTGAGTAGGGAAGATGTCATTAAGCATTATTGAACAGTACTATGTGTTCATGTTTATGCCCTTCCCACTGCCATTCTTTACATTCAAATCTTTTATATAAAGGCTGCTTTCAAGATAAAAGCAGTTACATATATGATGATTATCTTCATTGGCAGAATACAAGGAATGTATTACATGCTTTTGTTCACATTATTTACAGAATCTAGAAGAAATGTGTGTATATGTTTTGATAGTTTTATTAGATTTCACATACTGTTTTAAAAATAGATTAACTCCTTATCTGTGTGATCAGTAAAGTTGGAAAGCAAATAGCATAAAAAATAATAGTTCTGTTGCAAGAAAATACACATTTTCCTACCTTAGTCTGTGGAAAACAAAATGGAACTGATACTTATATAATTCATGATGCTTAATTTTAAAAGAAAATGAGTCAGGATTTGGGCAGCATTTTTGAGAACCATTTGTTTCTGTTCTAGTGTTAATGCAAAGTAAGCAAACAGCTTTGAATTCTGTTGAGCACTTTTGATGCTGAGCAGCAGCTAGCATATATAGTGTGAATCATATCCTCCAGGGCTTTCACCATTTTATAAAAAGTGCAGGTGGCTGGTGTGTGATAGTGTGTGTGTTTAATTTACTGCATTTTGTCACTTGGCTTACTCTTTTATTACTGTACTTGTTTAGTGGTAACGTCACACTAGTAACACAGTCGTGAATAGATTCTGGCGAATGATTATTCCTTTCTAATCTATAATTAAGATGCTATTTTCAGACACTTGCGCGAAGCCTTTTCTGCTCCAAGATTTTGTGAACCCAACCAAAGACCAGCTGACAGGTTTCATTTTTCTTTGCCCAAAAAGCTTCTCTTTGTTTTTGAACAAGTTTTTAAAAACTGACTGCTGAAACTTAGAAAAATAAAAATAAAAAACCACAAAAGTGATGTTACCCAAGCAAGGCCTTCTAATAAAGGAGTGGCCCCCTCACCCATTCTTCCCTACCTGTGCAAGTCCTGCTCACATCAGTTTCCTTCCATCCAATTAGGCGACCTGGGAGACCCAGCCAGCACCATGCAGAGGGACTTCGGAGTGGTGATGGGGTGCCCCCGAGAAGTTGGCAGGATGGAACAAGGGAAGGGTCTGGCCACTCCACATCTCTCAAAGTTCCATTGGCTCGATCACTGCAGATAAGCGAAGAACTGCTGAGCAGAAACCAGCATACTACAGCTGCCAGCCATGCACCATCTGGGCTGCAGAATCACGGACAGCACATGATACTATCCAGGGAGGCTTCTTGGGCAAAACCACACTATGAATTCAACTTCACCCGAATGAAATTCAGGGGAAATGGTGCACTCAGCAACATCAGTGACCTTCCTTTTCTTACAGAAAACTCAGCCTTTCAAAAAATGGCACTTCATACTAAACAGGATGGGAAAAAGGACATGAGCCATTCAACTCCTGTGGATTTAAAGATACCACAAGTTCGAGGCATGGACCTTTCGTGGGAGTCCCGTTCTGGCGACCAGTATAGCTATAGCTCTTTGGTGATGGGTTCACAAACGGAGAGCGCGCTTAGTAAAAAGTTAAGGGCTATCCTTCCGAAACAAAACAGGAGGAGCTTGCTGGATCCCGGACCAGATTCCTGGGGCTCAGATGCTGAGCAATCTACCTCTGGACAGCCATATCCCACCTCTGATCAGGAGGGAGATTCTGGCTCTAAGCAACCTCGGAAGAAAAGAGGCAGATACAGACAGTACAACAGTGAAATATTGGAGGAAGCGATTTCTGTGGTGATGAGTGGGAAAATGAGCGTCTCCAAAGCTCAGAGTATTTATGGGATTCCCCATAGCACCCTGGAGTATAAAGTGAAAGAGAGGCTGGGCACTTTGAAAAACCCTCCAAAGAAAAAAATGAAATTAATGAGGTCGGAGGGGCAGGATGTCTCTGTAAAGCTTGAGATAGATCCCCAGGGAGAGGCAGCACAGAGTGCGAATGAGTCAAAGGATCATTAGGGATGTTGTAGAGTGCCAATTACATAATAAACTGGGTGAGCACTACGGCATTATTCAACTCCTGCTCTATGTACCCAACTCCTCTTCAGTTACTGGGTGCAGGACATGCTCCTTTGCAGTTCAGCAGAGACTTGTGTGGACACAGGGGAAAAGGGGTGCTCTGAATGTTGCATACTTGTAAATTTTCTGGCCCAGTATGGCTTGGAGCCCTTTTTGTGTTTTGTTTTGGTTTTGTTTTTTGGCCTTTTGCATGTTTCTCTAATGTTCTATAGAGAATTGAGTTACCTCACAAAGAATGCAGACATGGAAGTGGACTGCTTGCCTCTTGAGCCTGCATGGACTTTCGGTTCTTTTATTGGGTTTGCTTTTTTCATATGGCCTTTAACAAAAACAAAAAACAAAAAAACACAACTTTATTGAACTCTAGTACCAGACTTTTGAAACAAAACTGGATCGTTGCTTTATAATTAGAATTTCATTTCGTGGATCCAGTGGGTTTGAAAGAAAATATTAACTAATGACTGGTCAGAACTCAGAAATTGGTGGTTGGATTTCTAGTCAGTTGGGTCTAATTGGAGTCATTTTGTTTTAAATTCTACTCCTTTACCATTTGCAATCTGCTTAGTGCTCACCCGGCGGGGAGGGTGGGATGGGGGAACTTTACATACACTACCTTCAGAATGCTTTGGTTAATTCCTTTTGAACACTACCTTCACTGTAATTTTATTTGCTCTTTATTATAAAGGTAAGAGTTGGACTTGCCTGCTTGAGGATGTAGCCTTATCTCAACAAACTCCTTGTATTCAGGAGCATCAGGGTACACTGAATGATACATTAGGGTATTCCTCACTTTAACAAAACATGGCTTTCTGTGAGCTACATGCTTTTAACAGACTGAATTTTGAGTTTGCTAAAACTGTTGTTCCAACAACTTTTTTTTTTTTGAAAAAAACCTTCTGTGGGTTAGGAATATGTATAACAGCTTGCTGTAATCTTGGGCAAACAAACAAAAAAACCCTCATAAAACCCACTAATATTTAAACATTACAACCTCAGTAGTCTGCCTAAATAGTCATGTAAATGAAGGATCTATGTTAATGTTCAGGGAATAAATTTTTACAAATTTTAATAAAACACATGATCAGATCATTCTGGTCTGGCTTAGGCTGAGCATCTTATCTAGCTGTAACACTGTCAGGGTTGAACACCCAATGGGTGTTTCCTTTTTAAATACTAAAGTTGCCAGTAGCAGGAAATGTTCTTGCGTATTCTGAATTGTTGTTTTTGTTTTGTTCACTGTTGCTTTAATAGTGGACTAGCACACACTCACATAGACAGATCACCACTAGCACTCCTAAATCCACAGTTCGGTCTTTTTAGTTACAGAGGCATCTAATCATTCTTGCATGTTAAGCTTTAAATAAAGCTTTCTGAACTTGCAGCTTCACTAAATCAGACTTATTGGTTCCTCGGGTAGAGAGACAATTTGATCTTAGCTGTGCAAAAGATGAATAGGACTCCATTCTCCTGCTTTGCACAACCAAAAGAGGCAATGGAATTTGTATATGAGACAACATTAAGCACTGTTCTTGGTTAGGTCTCTTGTGTTAATGACTGGAAGTGGATGCTACGATTCATAGGAAAAAGGCCCAGAATAGCCCCAGGGGCTGCTGCTTGAATTTTGGGGCAATTAATTAAATTGGCCTTGATTGGTTGATTGAATACAGTGGGTTTCTGGGATGCAAAGGTTAGGCACACCATTGCTGTCATGTTAAATATGCACTTCTCATTCCTGAGAGATTGGGCTTTTAGCCCAAATATGCTTTGTACTACTGTTGTTAGACTTCTTTGTTTTGATAGCTTAATGTATTTCCATACTCAAAAAGCAGAGTTCCCTTAGCTTATCTAGTTGTCATCTCAGTACAGAAACCTGTTTGAAGCTCCATAGTGGTGTAGAAACTCTGCAATATAATCCAGTTTCACTGGAAATTGCAATAAAAATGCACTGTTTTAAATTTGTGGTTTCATCTGCTATTGAAAGTGTGGGAGAAGGTTTGCTGCAAGCTAGAAGTGAAACACTTGCATAGAGTTTTACTGTCAGAGGTTTAACCTTTTGTGGCTGTTTTTATTTAAGTGATGTATGAGTTGGGTTCTATAAAACCTTGTCATAGTGTATGTGGTGTGCTCATTTTACTTATCTATATATTTTCTATGTGTATCATTAAGTGGATGACAATCGTGCAGCAGAAAAATGGTGTGCCTACCCTTTAATGCTGCAGTTTAGAAAGAGAACTAATTGTATGTCATTTCAGACCATAGGTTGAGAACTGTAAATAGATAGCGATAGTTGCATATTCTTACTGCTTTGGTTAGAAAATGAATTAAACAACCAAACATTTAATTTTCTCAGATTAAAATCCTGGGACCTGACGATTGTAAGATTCCTGTCTGCAAATCTTTGGCATATAACATTTAATATCTGTGATCACTTCCTATTCAGGTAAAATTTCCCAGAAGCTTTGGAGCAACCATATTTCCTCAAAGGTCTCTGTTTAAAAAAAAGGAAAAAGTAGGTTATTTTTAAAGCACTATTTGCATTACTTTGGTAATTGCAATATAAAATAGCCATTATCGTTTTGTGAAGCATGATTGAAATTAGTTAGTTGTCCCTTTCTAAAGTTTCAGAAGCCTCTCAAAAATAAACAAAAAGCTGCTGAATATTCAAAAGATATAAATATATCTATATTTTATCTTATTGTAGGTTTTGTAAACTTAGTCTGTAATATTCAAGTGCACCTTTTTAATGTTAAACTTTTGTTCTAAGATTTCATCTCACTTGTTTTTTCCAAGGTGGCTCATCCTGTGGCTGTATCTCACTCTAGATCCCTAAGTGATCCACTGAAGTCAGACTGCTCTGACAAGCGCCTTTGGTGTAGCTTTGAGTAGTATTTGGGAGCATCTTACCTGTAGAAGAAATGGAATCAGTGTTTATCCATTAGCATGCTTAATTTTCTGCTGACCAGAAGTTTGCATGGCCAAAATCCCCAACTGACCATAGTTTGATGTGGGAAGATGTGATTTGCTGCTGTCTTTGTAAGAGAAGCCTTGTTTTCTCCTGTTTCCAGTAAATGGATGCTCATGTAAACTTGTGCAAGAGATAGGCTTTAGGCCTTGTTTTTTCCTGCTGTTTTTTGAGGGTATGTTAAGGGAACATAGCCAAGTGCAATGCTTCAGAAATAGTGAAGTCTGTAGGAGGAAGATCTGGGCATTTTTATCATGTGTGTCTAATCCAGGACCAGATTTTGGTAGGACTATAGAATATCTGTTGATGATATTGCTTGTACCTGGATAATAGAAAGAAACTGTGAACAATATTAAGTGGCAGCCTCTGTGTCTACAGACCAAGTATCATGAAGGATAGGTTCTCCCTCTACTCCCAGCCCAGAAGACTAATGTTAGAGTGTGTGTGTGTAACGTTTAAAATCAAGTTCACTATCGTACTGGAATTTAGATGTTGCTTGGTGACCTTTTGCTGCAGCAGGTTATACAGATGAGTAAGGCTTAGTGTCGTAGGGGTACAAGTGTGGAGTTAATTATTGTACAGTTCTGTGGAGCGAGCCCAGTGTGTAGAAAATGTATCAGTTTTTTACTTGGACCTGTAAGATATAAAAAATTTTTTCCTGAAAATTCTGGAGATCTGATGAACTATTACCTCTTTGTCAGCCATTCTAGAACCTCATTTCCAGTACTCTGGGCCTTTTCCTTTTCTCTGCAGCTCTCAAGCACGTTAGTTGTAGAGTTTTGGGTTCTTGGCCTTATTTTATGATAAAACCCCTCCAAGCTACCCAATTCATTTAAATAATCAAATGATAGCTCCCCCAGGAGCACTCAAAGTCCTGTTCTTGCATCAGCCAAATTCTACCAATAATATGTCCTTGCTTCTGGCTGGTCCCAGGACTTCTCCATACTGCCTGCTACTCTGCCTCCAAAGGAAAGGCCTAGTCTGAATGTTTTCTTAAATAGCTCCTAATGCAAACCTGGAATCATTTAAATAAGCCTTTACAAATGAGATGTAAATTTTAAACATGGTAGCAGTACAGGTCTGCTTTGTTTCCTATGTTATATCCCAAAACTTCCTGAGAAATATAAGGCAGTTTGAGGGAGCTGTGATCTCAAATGGAGACAGTAGTCACTCAGAAACTGTTAGGAGTTAATTATGCCAGATTTTTAAAATAACATTTTTTCCATGGAAAAAGCCTGTAAACACTGGCTGTAATTCTGATATGTTGACATCAAGTGTTATAATATGCTCTCAGTAAATTACTCAAAAATTTCATTTTGTAATACCCTTGGTGGTAAGGGAAAGCAGATTCCCAACCCACAGTATATAATACATAGAGGATTAAATCCTCCTAAAGTATCTGAGTTTTTAAGAGGTGAATAAAGGCATGACACATACATGGGTGAGGGAAACATACTTAGCATTCCTCTTTCTTATCCAGAAGCACTTTGCTAGATTTTTGAAATGGAAATATAAAAGTTTAGCCCCTTTACCCCGAAGGGTTGGTGGTTCAGCTGCTAGCCAGGGCCAACTGAATGACTTAAGCACCCTTCAAGAGAACAGGTTAGCATAAAAATAAATTTGTTCCTTTGTTTTCAGGCAAGCAAAGCAGAAATATTTGTAGGAAGTTATTGGACACCATACTTTGATGTAAGCATCTTTGCCTTTCCCCTTGCAATTTCAAAATTAAATTGCAGTTTCAAAAGATTCTATTTGCTAATCTCCATTTTGCCTTTTGTCTGCAAATTATACTTTGCGCAATTGGCTTTTATTCTATATCTGTCCAGTTGCTCTTAAACTTTGATTTTAAAACTCATTTGTGTGATAGAGATAATCATGATTTCCCTGTTATCTTTACACATTGTTTTAGTTTAAAGTTAGTAATCTTTCAGCCCTACAGAGTCATGTTGCAGTTTTGTGTCAATACAAAATAATCTATTTAATGGAACAAAACTGCTGAATGTTGTCACAGGTAAACAGCTTAGTATTGATGTGATATATACCAGGGTTGGCCAGACTGGCTTGCAAAACATACTCAGTTTCTGGGCAATTGTAGAATATGAGCAGAAACCAGCTCTCTGTTGGAGACATTAGAAGTGTATTCTCTGTTGCATCAACTTATACTTTCACATTAGGAGTATTAAAAAGAAAAAAAGGAGAACACCGTGAACATTATGGGTTGTATGGGCAAAGGAGCCACGGGCTAGGAGATAAGTGAGCTTTTGGGATTTGGAGGTATATGGCCTATGACTCTCTACCCCTGTATGATGCTTTATGGTGTAGAACTTTGGCCCTTTCCTTGCTAATACATAAAAAATGTTTAGTCAGGATTTCAAATTTAGTAACTGAACAAATGTCTTGCAAAGGTCTAAAAATATACCGTGGCATTCTAATTGGCAGTAACAAGAATTATAATTTTATCTTTTGAGTTTGTGGATGATATTCTACAGAATCCAATCTACAGAAACTCAAGATAGCACAGAAGGAAAAGCAATTGGCCTTTGTGACATCTTGTCTGGCAGTATCTGGATTTTATTTAGGCAAAGGTTATCAGTGACATTTTCAGTATTGCAAAAGTATCTGTATCCAGGTAATATCCTACAAACTACTGAATTCTCACAAATGATCATAAAACCCAATTTTATTAATACAATGAAGAAACTAATCCCTAGAAAATCATTTCCCTGTTTATACAATATATACTTTATGAATCCTCAGTGAGAAGAGAATTTATCTGTGTGCCACCATCCTGTAATGATCTAAGTATTTCCTCTCCCACTCTAAAATAATGGACATGCCACCTCAGCCTCTAATGTACCTCAGAGTTGGTGCTATGTTCTTTAGAACCCTACAGGCTTAATAGAAATATGTGTATTAATCCTTGCAGACCATTAAAGCGCTTATTTAACCTGTTTTTTTTAAAGAAAAGAAACAGAAAAGGGACCTTTCAGCACTTTTACTGTTACAGCTCTAGTCTTAATTTATCTGGTCTTCAGAGTCTAAGGTACTGTCAAAGTTTCAATCCACAAATGATTGATTGCTTTTAGGTCAGATAATTTCTGTTGATAGTAATCTATCTTTAAGAATAAATAACTCTGTTTTATAGTGTTCAGGCAGCTTCTGGGCATACATGCCTGATATTTTAAGTAAACATTTCAGTAGACCATTTCAGGGCTTTAAGATTTGGGATCTAAATGGGGGAGGCTAGGAGAAGTTTCCCAAATGAAGAATAGTTTTAGACCATTGTGTAGTGCTCAGTTTGAAAGTATATCACTAGGGAAATGGGTAGGGATTGTCTCTCTCCCTTTTTGTCTTCAGGGAATGAGCAGTATTTAGAATCTTTGGCTGAAATTCAAGCCTTTTTACCATGTAAATTTTAATATAAATTCACAGACATGCTTTTTACATCAGAGGACTGAAAATGGATCTTAATGTTTAAGTTGTCGAATGGTATATTTCTTAAATGAAGGGAGAAATTTAAAAAAAAATTAACTAGATTAGCATACCAGCATTAGTGATCTTAAGGGATTTTAGTATGTAATAGGAAAGTCTTTGATTAAAACTCTAATCTTGAATTGCTAGTCTGTAACTAGATGCATTCTACGTTAGCAGGTGAAACTTATTTACTTGTTGAGAGAGGGTAGGTGGCGGCTGTCATTTGCCCTAGCTTTGGAAGAACAGATTGCAGACGGCAACCTCTTGGAGTCCCGTTTGGTGGTTATATCCATGGGATTTTTGCTTATAGCAGCTTACTGCTGCTTAGACATGTATAAATACGTTTTGAGTGTTTGCTCATAACTCTTTCTAACCTCCACTTGTTAAATTGTCAGATGTTGGTATTTTATCAGTCCGCAGTGTAAGTTCTAAACTAACCTTCTTAGGATTCCAGCTTGTACACACACTGTTTGAAAACCCTCAGGGACAGTTTACACACTACCCTCACTCAATTCAGGTACTTGTACACTATTCTTAAACCTAGCAGTGACTTGTATTTTGTTTTTGCTTTTATTTTGATGTGCTGATAGCACATCCTTGATGAATGTCAATTTAAACTCAGTTCAGGTATCCAGGTATAACTCAGCCAAACGGATTTTAAAGCTGCATATTACTCTCCAGCACGCAGTGCCTCAGACACGTAGTGGCATTCTGTATATTCAGTTATTACTACTGAGCAAGATCGCATGGGGGTTCCTGATAATTATGTATTGTAAGAAATTTCTATATATAGTATGTGTATTATGTTATATACATATATATTATATATGTAATCTTAAACGTATATATTTAAAAATGCCACTACCAAGCCAGCACAGCTATTGTCAAATACATTCCTGGCTGCCTCTGCAAATGGAGCAGGGACAGCTTCTCAGCATGGCTGTGGTTTCTCTTTCATCCCAGGTACTTCTAAACTTAAGCACTGGCCCTTGGGTGTCTGACCTCTACATTCTAGTTATGCAATGTCTCTAGGAATTCTGTGCACTGGCCACTGTGATGGAAGCCAATGGGCCAGATAGGCTTGAGTTTATTAGTAATCCTTCTGCCAAAGTTGGTGCTTTATGGCAAGAGTGTAAACTTTTCAAATAATCAGCAGCAGCACATACATCTGGGAGCAGCTGATCACTCCCGCATTATAGCCCTTTTCAGGTGTCTCACCTCTTGTGCCATGCACTAGTTAGGATATGCTGGCATTTCACACCTGTAATGGTGGGTCTGTTTGCTGAACACTAAAGATTGGTTATGTGTGTAACACATTAAAATAAAGCCTGCTGCTCGCACTGGCATTAGTTTCATTGTAATTGTGCGTCAGCAATGCCTCTGCTTTATTATTTGATGCTTTACACCTTAGAAAGTTCTATTTATGTAGAATATGGAAAATGGCATTTTTCACAGACCTCTAAAAGTACAAGTGTCATGGAAAAATAAAAGCAGGAACCCCCTTTTTAATCTATGGACCTCATTTCAATATACTGTTTACAGTTTGACGGAATTGTATAATTTAATATTTCTCTTGTACTGTAGTTTGTATTTATTTACAGATTTTTTTGTACTGTGTGATTTGAACTTTTTTGTTCCTTGCTATGATCAACATTTTATGTAGTAGAGCACTTATGATCACAAATTAAGGTTTTTGGTTTGATTGCACTACATTTAATTTTTAATGCAGTTCTGATTTTTTGACTGGACTTAATAAGCTGTGTCTTAATGTATGTGATAAGTACTTATAAATTTTTAATTCATGTGTTCCACTTTTTTTTTTTTTTTTTGCATTGTATGTCCAAAAGCGCTGGTTCTCTCGTGCATGTGTAAGGGTTTAACAGCCCTGTTGTATTCTTTGGCCATGTCATTTTGGAAACACATTCCCAGCTGTAATGTGTATGGTAGTTTTCACTGGATGCTAGACTTTTCAGAACCACTATTCTTCTAATAAATTTTGTTGTGAAAACTTGAATTTCTCAAGTGTCTTCTCAAAATAACTATGGTTTCGATATTTTTGTGATGTAATAGTTTAATAGTACCAAGGTGGATTAATTCATGTTTGTCCATGAAGAAAACTTCTGGTGTTGATAGTGGCTGAGTAGATAATTGGTGAATGAAGAAATGTATTCATGCAGCAGCTTCCTCTCTTCAGCTGTGTTTCAGTTCTCTCCCCAGCTGCCTTTTATTTTTTGCAGTTACACAATAATGTTGCCAATGTTCCCTTATTTTTGTCTGTATACCTCTAAATTGCCATTGTATCTGTTATAGTAGCATTTTACATGAATTGATTAAATGGAATTCTTTCTATATTTTTATTCTTAGCTGTTCTAGGCTTCCTACAAAGAAGAAAGAATTGGAATATAAGTTTTATAAATAAAATTTGATGAGGAACTGTCACCATGTTTCACCTATCATTTTCATGTTGTGTTTCTCCTGAATGTTCTTCCAGTGTGATATTTTACCAGATCCTGTAGCACTGTAGCTTTCTTCAGGATGTGATAAATCCCAGACCTCACCACATGAAAATGATGAGTTAACCTGCATAGTCGTTGTGTCAAAAATGAACACTTGAATGCAGCCAAGATAATATAGCTTCTAAATAGTATATAGTCAGCTGTATTTATTCTCAGAATTTTATGTGCTGACAGCCTTGAATTTATAAGAGATTGATTAGTGATACCTACTCTTCTTAAAACATTTTTATCATTTGTTTTTTACAAGATGATCCAATGCACTTGGTAATTTCGCATTTTTATGCATTCCTAGCTACCTTAGTTGTACAGTTTGTTTTGTTCTTAAATCATATGAGCCAGTTTTTGAGTTCCTTCTTGGTCACACTTACATCAACAAGAAAAATAACTGAAGGGCTGGGCTATGTTGATAGCCCAGCGGCATAGGTCTCCATAGTCTCCTTTAAATTCTGTAAGCCATGGCATGGGGATTTTAAATGGCAAGTGCCTTCAGGAAATTAAAGTTACCAAAAGCAGCACTTTCCTTTATTTTCTCCAATGTAAATGAATGCATGCAGTTCATTCTCTTTTAGTAAAAAGTACTGTGCTTCATTTGAGGACCCTTACAGGGTCCAAATTGTCTGATTGCTAGGTGGCACATTGTCTATTGTGCGACTTCATGGAAGACTAAATTGATCACCAAATATTTCTCCCCATTCTGCAAAATGTATGATGTCTTTTTTGGCATTATGTTTCACACACACAGACTATATTGCATTCTCATATTCTCTCTCTCTCTCTCACTCTCACTCTCACTCTCACTCTCACTCTCACTCTCACTCATATATATATTCCCTAACTGGAAGTCTGTGTTGATGGTGGTAGTAGTAATAGCTTGGTCGTTTATGATGGTTGATAGTGAAAGGTTTTGTCTTCACTGCAAATTTGACTGTAAATTTAGCATTTTGTATTTCTCCTTCTCAACAGGTATCCATTGTTAACTTACATAAGGGGAAGTAAAGGGGTGCATTTGGAGACAGCAGTGGCATTAGAATAGCACCTGCTATATAACCTCTATCAGCCTTTTCTCTGTGCCCTTTGTAGCCTGTTTACATTTTATCCACAGACATTTGTGGGAGTCTGTAAGAAGTTAAATGACTCCTTCCTATACTTGTCCACACCAGAATAGGAGTAGGCAATTTGTAGCCCTCCCAGGAGGCTTGGCCTGCAGTTCCTATCAGCCTTAGCCACCCTAGCCAATGGTTAGGGATCGTGGGAATTGCTGTCTACAACATCTAGAATGCCACGAGTTGACCACGCTGGACTAGAATGCCACAAAACCTTGCTTTATATGTAGTTTTTAATGAATAATAGAAGGAGTTGGGGTAGGCAGTTTTGGTTCTTTCTCCATCAGCATTTACTGCACTTTTTACTTCCTTGCTTCCCCTTCCAAATCTATCTTCTTCAGTGAAGCCAATGACATGAGTGGAGGAATTTGCTTTTTGTATGATGTTCTGCCCTGTTCTTCTAACTAAAAATAGTTGTAACCTCTGATGGGGTGGTGGTGGCAAGGAAACAGCCTCTCTTCTACATAGGAGTTGCTTTTGGGAATGTTTGACCAATTCATTTTCCAAGTAAGCCAACCCAAGGTAGAACTCTTATGTTCCAATAACTGCATGGAATACTATTATACTAATGTTTGGCACAGAAAAGTAAAATAAAACTTGAAAGCAAAAATGATGTCATTCATGTCTGAACAGGTATGTCAAAAGATTTCCATATGTACTTAGTTTCCCAGATTTCCATAGATGTTTCAGACAGCTTGAAGATGAGGAGAGGTGGCATCTGTATAGGCATAAGCTGTAGCAGCACACTTGATCCTTTATTACATTTCTATACTACCCAAAAGCCACAGTTCTCTCATTAGTTTGCAACAATTAAAATGCAGCACAATAAAAAATAATGAAGGCCTTAGGATAGCAGATGCCATTCACTGGGTGCGTAGATTATTTGTTTAACTGGAAGATGTTTGTTCATATGTTTTCACCTAACTTTAGAGACTCAACAGTGCCCATAATGGGTCAATTAAAGCAATGCAGTAACCTACACTCAAAGATAGGTATGGGTTGAACCATGGGCTGTTGTGTAAAACCATCTACACTAAAACCATGGTTTGTAAACAATCCATAAGGAGAATCTATGGTGTCAGTTTGTGTGATTAAAATAAGCCATTTTGGCATAAATAAACCATGGAGACTTACTGTGAGCCATGCCACATGCCAGACATGATTTCCATAATCATCACAAGGTTGTAGCTTATTGTCTTGTCCTTGTTTAACCCTCCCAACAGGCCATGCTACCTGGGTTCAGATGACACAATAAACTGTGGGCAGGTGGTAATTGTGGAAATTATGCCTAATGTACACCATGACTCAAATGAAGTACTGGGGCTTGTTTTGATCATGTGAAGTGAGTCTTCGTTTGCTGTTGGGTTGTGAGCTATGGGTTGTTTGTGATTAACAGAACATGGGTTTGTTAGTATGACTGCATTCACACAACGGAACAACCTCAGTTCAACAACTCACACCCAACCCCTAATGTACAATGTTGAGTATTGGTTGTTGTGTTGTATGAACCCAGCCAGTGACTCAGTTCCTACAACACATAGTTTATCATATTTATTTAGCTTATTTAAACCATGACAAGCTGTGAGACCTGCAGATGCCATACTATCAGTTCCTGGACTGAATTATTGTGTTGTGTGAACCTGTCTGGTAGGAGTTATGTGAGGTTAAGCAACCCTTGTAATGGCCTGTTCTGAATAAGCTGCAGTGTGAACCACCACAATGAGGCAGAAGGGACTAAATGAGAGATTTGAAGTGTACACTTTCTCCTGTTATATTGACCTGGCAAAGATAAAACATCTCTGCTATATATAACAGTTTGTCAAGATACATGGATCACAAAAGAATTTCATTTTTAAATTTTATTTATGAATGAGATATTAGATTATTTCTTCCTTTTCCCAGTTAATATTTTCATCTGCATGAAAATCTTGCATAGTACCCCTCATTTTTACAGGTCTGGTAGGAGGTGCTAGTATTAACACCTTGATTCTAATTACCTTTACTTGGAACTAAGTCTCACTTACTTTAGTAGTAGTCTGCTTCCTGATAAGTACACTTTATTAATGAGTCATGCATGGTAATGCTTGATGCTGCTTGTGACAGAGCAGCCATTTTCTTTTTGTTATTCACATGTGCACGTGCTCGCGCGCTCTCTCTCTCTGTCTCTCCCCCCCCCCCCCCAGGTGTGATTGTGTTTGTATTAGCAAGCTGAAAGCAAACTCATTTATAATGTGTATCTGAGATTTGTGTATACCATCCGAAAGATTGTAGCTTCATCACAAATCTATGTAGCTGCTCTCTTCTGCATAACAGTTATAACTGGAAGTACTTCAGCGTGCTGGATGGATTGCTAAACTCTAATGTTCTCCTTAATTAGAAATGCTGTACAACCCAACAATACCTAATTTATATTGTATGGCAAAACTTGCTGTGCTGCTTGATAGGGGTGAAGAGACAGGGAGAAGGAAAAAGGCAGGCAACAGAGTATGCAGGTGGCACTATTCTTATACATGTAGCAAAAAAGCAACTTCATTTCTTCTTTTCTCCTCTTTCCCACCCGAAGTCTCTTGGCCAGATGGTGATAGAATAATTTGCTTTCTATTCACTGCACTGCAATAGAGACACTACATATTTTTCTCAAAACAATATAGGTGATAAGTCAAGGCTGGGTTTGCATTCCGCACTGTCCTTCAGGTGTATGCAGGCAGTTGAGCAGAAAGTATTGTGCTCATTTGTCTTTGGCAAATGTATCTTGGTGTGACTTCCCTTGAGCCTTTTTTTTATAAGTCTTTGTACAATTTTTTCAGTTGTACAATAAAACACATTTTAATTTCATCATGAGGTTTGATGCATGTAAATAAATTTTCATGTCAAATTTTCTTAGCAATGTGACACCGAGAAAGGTGTTGCTTTCCAAACCAAGTAGGGAGGGGCTTGCTTCATGAGAGAATTCTTTCAATTTAACCATAGTTTTCTCTAATAAAGATTGTACCTGGCCCTACTAGTACAGCTCAATCTGTTTAAGAATAAAGCAGAACTCTTTACTACTTGGTTTTGTTGCAGCATTGGTTATGGATACTGCACACAAAGGTATATTTGCAATGAGCATATGAAGTCACCTTAAACCACCAAGGTCAGAACATCCAATTTTTTGAATTTTTGCACAAACAAAAGATTGGATTCAAATATTTGAATTTGTTGTAAATTGGTTGTTGGTATAGGAATAAAATTGATGAAGATGGTGGTGCTGAAGAAGTGCTGTTTGCATAGCATTTTTAAGAATCTAAATTCTAGGGCATTTAGGGTAAATGTCACCTTGTTTTACAAGGTTCAGAACTGACAGAGTGGTATGGAAAGGACACAGGTGCAGCTGGAGGACTAGTGGGAGTTGTACT